CAGCAACTACAGTTAGCCTAACTTTGGCTAAGCTGGCCAAACAACCTGTTCTATACTCCATTTTCTTGGGCCTAGCAAAACTAATATTCATTTAGAAGAAATAAGTAGTTACAATGTAGCTAATAAAGCAGAAAGAATACATAAAACATAGTAAAATACAATAGAATTACATTTAAAGAATCGTATAATAAAGCGGCGCAAAAAAATTAAAAAATGTCCCACAGAATACACAGGCCTTATAGCAGTTACGCTGTAATAGGCATATAGAAACCCTGCATTCACAAAAGCCTTAGTGTTAATATAAATAATGTAGTAAGCCTGAACTTTACACGCACGTACAAGAGACTATTACAATGTTATAGATGTAATGAAATCATTTGCTGCACACTAACATGCTGTGAGCGGTGATCAGCTGGTTGCCGGATGGGTGGGGTGGATCTCACTCAAACACAGGCATCCAGCTTTATTGACAGGCACACCCAGACATCCTTCAACAGGAGATGGCAAGCAGAGCTGGCTCCAGCTTTTTTGCCACCCCAAGTGGCGCAGAAAAAAAAAGGAAGACCCAATTGAGCTCCCGCCGAAGAGAAAGAGACGCAGTGAAGGACCCGCCACCGAAACGCTGCCGATTTCTAAAGCGGAGCGCTGGAGCAGCCGCAGAAGAGCCACTGAAGACCCGGACCTGCATGTGCCACCCAATACCTTCGTGGTGCTAGGAGCCGGCCCTGATGGCAAGGTCTGACTTACACTCTTTCTTCTCAATTCCCTCTGACTCGTCTCAGGGGTTCTTCTGTTCTATCAGTTGGGTGGGGTTGGCACCAGAAGTGATGGCCGATGCTGGCTCCGCGCTGTTGAGGTAGCTGTTCATCCTGAAGGAACTGCCATTGTAGTGGCAGTTAAAACTACTGCTGCCATCTCCCTCAGACTGTCTGCCTTAGAGGCTTCCATAGCTCTGTTCTAAAGCTACTGTCCTCTAGAAAGCTCTACGGCTGCTGCTTCTGCAGGTAGCTGCTTTCCAGCATCTTCTTAAGATGCTGCTGTCGTTGTCCCCGCTGCTGCTGTTCTTGCTGCTTCTTGAGGCTTCTGATCTTCACACACCCGACAACTAAGCCTCTCAAGGTCTGCTCATTAACATATTTTTTTACCCTGGATCAGCCAATCAGCTTCCTGGGTGCTGCAAGCTTTTTCAAAAAAGCTCAAAGCAAAATTTCTCATTACATGGTAGCCATTGTGGTTGTAGTGCACAGGGTAGGATCCCTTAGAAACTCGGTCCCGAGTTCAGGAGCTGGCAAACTCAAGTGGGTGTACAGGAGGGAATATTTGTAATGGGCATAGGAGAAAGCAAGAAGCTGGAGTTGCAGAGGGACAGCCATGTCAGGTAGAAAGGGGGGTGACTGGTGCTCATGTAGGCCCTGATTCAAACCCTGTTGAAATCACTGCCCATTAGACAGCTAGCAGCATGATTAGTGGCCCATAATTTCACAGGTCTTTAGTGGTATTTAGAATATAAAATAAATTTCATTGTATGTTGACAATGATCAAAATAAGATAGCAAAATAAAGAGACTCACCTTGGAATGCAACTGTATTGATCCGAGACAATTTTTTTAAAGCAAAATGGCCAAATCTTGTAGTTGCTACTCAGTTCTTACTTACACTAGTCACTGGGAAATTTGCCTGGGCTTTAAGATTTGACCCTATGGGGAAATATTTTGAATTAACCAAAGACATTTTATAATATAGTCTGTACCAGCATATATCTGTTTAGGAAACGAAAGCAAATCACTGCATTCCCTTTAGGTAGACTGCTAAAAAGGATTATGTGCTGTGATTTAAATGACCAGATTGAAATAGGTTTGGAAATGCAAGCATTTGCTGGTTAAAAGACAGGTATAAAGGATATAGTACATGAACTCAATGTGATTTTCATGGATTTTACATCCTATAGTGGAATCCAAAGACTCCATCCTTTTAAATATGTCTCATCAGTTTTGCTTCATTTTGATCTTCATAGAGATGTTCAACAGTGCAAGAACTAGAGCTGTGCAAAAACTCCAGTTTCGACATCAAAGTTTTATGCAAGTATTTTCTTCAGTTTTCATTCACATGGGTTTGCACAAGTTTCTCTTTGAGTTGTGGGTTTAAATGGCCTCAAAATCTCAAAGTGAAACTTAGTTAACATGATCTAGTCTCACCTTGCTCCCCAATTAAATTATGCAGTTTGGTAAATTTCCCATTATTCTGATGTGGGAATGGGAGGAAGAACACAGGATCATTAAAAACTATGTCCATGTTCACTTAAATATTCAAAACAACTTAGCGAACCTTTTGGTGAATCTGTTCTGGGTTTGTAAGAAAACACATAGCTCACATGAAACTGATGTAGTTTGTGTTTCATTATGTGGTGTAGTTGAAAACGGTGTTGGAATTTGTAGGCCGTCACTTTAATTTGTACAGGGTTTCCTGGTCCTGCTTGCAGACTTTGGGGCTCTGTAGGGAAGTGTGCAATCAGAATCAGTCTGGAAGAAGCCAGCCTAGAACAAGGCGAGATGAGTTCTTCCTCTCAGTTTTAGGGAGCAGCCTGCCTTGTCTCTCTCTGTTTTTGTTACTGTGTGTTATCATTCTGGATTCTAAGAATAAAAGTAGTGTCATGTTTCAACCTTCCAGAAAGAGTATTTGATGTCTTTATCTAACTTTTCTGTTTGTATATGTTGCAAAGCTTTTACATGCCTCTAGGACCTACCCACTACTCTCTGATTTTGTTTCTAGAAATGCCATCTGTGATGGCCTTCACTCGTGGGCAGCATTGCTGAATAGTCATGGCTTAGGCCTTTCAAACTGGGGAGCAGGATTGGTAGGGGATACCAAACCCTCCCACTCCACTGGAATCTGTGAGGGCTATCAAAGATCTGACAGTCTAAAGATCTAATTTTATAAGGGGCTCCTGAAGGCTGCAGACCCTGGGCCACTTCCTACTACCCCAAGATTGCCCGAAGCTCACCGTCTGTGGTGAGGAGAGGTGCAGGGGGTAAGCTCACTGCTTTGCACATCCTTATGGCCGTACATGGTGTGGTAAGTCTTTCTCTTTTGGGGGCGGGGGGTGTAGCTGCCTCCTCCTCTGGCTTGGCCCTCAGCCAGACCAGTTCCAAGTGTCTCCCCTGATGGTGTAGTCCATAAACAAAACAAGGGGAATTAACACAAACTGTGTCCATAGGGGAGAGACAGGGGTATGCCTCCCTCTCAGGGTATATCTGAAGCAGGTCCTCCCTTCCCTCAGGGAGGGACCTTTGGGCAGTTGTTACAGGGAAAGCTCTTGCCTTCCCTCAGCTCTTGTCTCAGGAGCTACAAGTTGCAGGTCTGCTTTCTTTCCTGGCCTGCACCCAAGTGAGCTAATCTGCTCCTTTTTAATTTCTCCTCCAGTCTGTGCATCTCTTGCAAATGTGTCAGGGTGGGTCTGGCTAAGTCCAGAGCAGCTTCTTACCCCTTGTTACTCTATGTGGGGTTCATATAGCCATCATAAGAAGCATTTAGTTTTTTTTCTGTAATGGTATTACATCACTGACCTAAAAGCAGTGGAAGAATTAAAATTAACTATAGGCCAAACTCTGAAAGAGTGGTTGAGGTAGCACACAACATTTTGGATGCTTCCCTGATGCTTGACTAAAGTACACATACCTTGTGAGTGTGCAAAATTTGGGTCCTCATTCTTCTTTCCTCATTAGAGCAAAATTCCCATTGAAACCGGCCGGAGATAAATGTAAATAAAATCTACAGGGACAGGACACAGGAACATAAGAATTGCCATGGTCCATCTTGTCCAGTATCCTATCTTGAACAAAATTTCTAATGAGACTTCCAGTGCTTCCATCTTTTGTCTGAGTCACAATAATCAGCAGCCTTTCTCATGGTAGCTCAATACTTATGGTCCCTGGTGAAACTCATAACTATGGTACAGGAAAACAATGTGGGGAAGTAAACAACATTCTTTGAAAACATCAATAAAATTCAGTTTGCCAGAAGCTGAGAATGGGTGACTGGGAATGGATCACTTGATGATTACCTGTTCTGTTCATTCCCTCTGAATTGGCCACTGTCGGAAGACAGGATACTTGGTTAGATGGACCATTGGTCTGACTCAGTATGACCATTCTTATGTTCAAGGTTGGTTGAAGGTTCCAGGAGGTTCCTATTTTAACTGAGCTGGTTTTACCCATGCATGGCAAAAGCTCTATGTGTGTGTGTCTGTGTGTGTGTGTTTAAGAGGAAAATTAGGAAGAGTTGAAGAAGAGGCATGATTTGTGCATAAGAAGGTGGAAGCTGTTTGAAAGGGTAACGTGCTTAGAGAGATAAGGGCATGCTGTGAACCAAAGCAAAGGTCAGGCACCTGGGGAGTTTAGGAGAAAAGTCTTTATGCAGAGTGTAATTGGTGTATGAAAGAGACTCAGACAAAAAGACCATTAGAACTGTGCAACTGTGAGCACGTTTTAAAAAAAAGTATACATAACTTTGAAGAAAAAGCACAAGTTCTAGATTTATGCTAAGATATTACAGTAATGGGCATAGTAAAAACAGAAACATAGGAATGTAGACAGCCACATGGTCTACTTGAATCATTACTACAGTGCCAGGCTTTTGATAGTATGTTATTTTTGACAAAGACAATAACATCCCAAAAGAGCAGAAACTCTATTCTACCCACCTGGCAAAATGTTCTGAAGGCAAATCATTCTTTGCAATTCTATAGCTTTTTATATATTCAAAGCGCAATACACACAGTAAATGATCAATTGCCCATTAGAAATGTGAGATTATCAGTCATGACACTATTTCTTAGCTGGAGTGTCTCTTCCACAACTCTATGAAGCTGTGGACACAAGGGTTATGTGTGATCCCAAGGGAGTTAGGGGGCATTGTGTTCATACCACCAAA